TATATATATCTAAATGTATATTCATGTGTGTATGTATGTATATATATGTATGATTATTTGGATTGGGCTGGTTGGGCTGAGTGCAGGGTGAGATATTGAGATGTTCTCGCTGCAGTGAGAGAATTCTCGTTGTAGCGAGAAGGCCCTAGGAGGAAGGACCAGAACTGTCGCCTTCTCGCTGTAGCGAGAGACATCTCACTGTAGCAAGAGAGCGACAGTCTGGGGTGCATTTCTGGGTGCAGTTTCGCTGTAGCGAGAGGGTCTCGCTATAGAGAGATTCTGCAGAAACCAGAGTGCAGTTTTCTCTGATTTTTTGGCTGTAGCGACAGGGCGTGTGAGTGTCATGATATAAGGGGTTTTAAAAGGGGTTTAGGGATTTGAGATTCATTTCTCAAATTCTCTCCCAAATCTCGTCAATCCTCTCGACCCAAAATCCTTGTCCACCGATTAATTGCCTCCAAAGCCGTTCAGGAGCGAGATTGGAGTTCAAATTTGTGTGGGGAACGCTTGGAGGTGAGTTTTAAACGGTTAGAGTTTTCGTTTTCCTTCCCTTTTTCTGTTCTTGGTATTTTCGGGGTTCTCATGGAATTCTTCCGTGTGTTTAGGCCGAAAGCCGTGTGGGGAGCATTTCCGTGGTTAAGTTCAGGCGTGGGTCTTCAATCCAAGGTAAGGGGGGACTCTACCCTACTCTTTTATGTGTAATTTGCTGTTATTCTGTGGAATGTTGTGATGTGGTTGAGCTAGAAGATAGGACATTGCTGAAATATGTGATGTGAATTATGTATTGAATGTTGTGAATAGGCTTGGGCACTTGTGCCATATAATTGAATGAATATTGTGTGAAATGTGGGCCCGAGGGCCGTGTAATATGAATGAAAATAGGCTAGGGGCTGTGTGTCTTGAATGAGTTGTGGACTATGTGCTGTGTGTGCTATGAAAGTGAAATATGGGCCTAGTACCGTAACTGTTAAATGTGGGCTATGTGCCGTATACTGAAATGCGTGTGACTAGAGCGTGCAACGCCGTTATAATGTATTGTGAATAGTTCAGCGATACACTAGGGGTGTGGGAGATGAGAATGGTAGAAATACTTTGGGGAAGAGGAAGTGGTGGTGACACAGACTGTGGAACGGGTGCACCACGGGCCACACACTCTCTTCTTGACTAGACCTCTGACTATTAACTTTGCTGAGGGACCCGTGACTGCCCACGCGATATCTGTGAGGCGGGGGTAACCGGCGACCATTCATGGTGTAAATATGTAATCACAGTGTCGATGTGAGTGTGGCTGATGTGCGTATGCATGGGTTCATGATTTGTACTTGTGGATGTGATAATGTTACTTGTGCCTGTTCTTGTTTAATGTATTGAAAATGTGCTAGAGATAAGACTCTATGCTTAATTGTATGTTTTGGTAGTGTAAAGTACTCACCCTTACATTCATTTTTCAGGTAATCAAGACGATCAGCACCGGACTCAGTGAAGGAACGGATGGACTGCTATAGGATTTAGATTTTGTTTTGAAATTTGTTGTAATTGAACTAATCTTGTAGCAGTTGCGTGATATTAATTTGTAACCCTTCACTTATTTCAAAATCTTTTATAAAAATCTGATTATCCAATTTGTGAAATTATTATTTAATTAAAATTAAATTTAAGGCGTTACAAATAGCTTATACTATTGGCGAGGACCGTACACTTTAAATGATAAAAAGTGGGACATAGTGATTTACAAGGATTATTTTGGTGGTGTTCCTTAAGGACAATATACATTTCCTGGAGGACAGCCAAGGCTCTCAAGCATGGCCCCACAACCTATACCACTAGGAGGGCGTGAGATGCATGGCTATGCAGCTGACGAGGAAACAATGAGTATAAGAGCTAAGAGAGGATCAAGGATTGGAGGATAGAGTCTTGAAATTAGTCAGAAATGGGCTCTTCAATAAGCCTTTGGAAGCATCATTTTCAAGGACGTGCAAATTTCAATGTCACAATCTATTTTTTCATGGATGTTCCAATGTAAATTTTATAGCAAGGAGCTTTGTCTCATTTTTCTTTTTCAATAGTATATCTCTCGTTCATTTTTTTCCTGAATGTAATTTGCTAATGGATTGAATTTCAACAAAATGTTGTAGCTGTGGTGCTCGTGGTCTTATATATATTCTGAAAGTGAATTAATTTAATATTTTTTGTATACTCAAATGAGTTCAGATTCATTGACACTAAGTGTCAAACTTAAATTATTACATCTCTTAATAATTTGTCATAAAATATAAGATTGACTAATCTAATAGTTGAATCATCTTATATTATCTTTATGATTATTTATATCAAATTTTAAATAATTTGAACATTAATATGTAATTTGAAATTTAATATTTATTTATATTTTAAAACACAAAACCCCTTAAATAAAATATACAAAGAAGTACATATTAATTTTGTTTTTTTCTTGTAAAATTTTATGAATTTGATTTACTTATAAGAATCTTTAAATTAATGATTGGATTGATCAATTTTACATTATATAAGAAGATATTAAACAGTATAAGTGTCCAAATTTACCATCGGATATCATTAGATATGGATTCTACTCAAATTTATATGCTCCTATTCTATTATCCCCTTTCATTCTCCTTATATTTTACTCTTGTTTTATTTAATTTTGGTTGTCACGTGTTATTTTATCATAGCAGAATCCCCATGTCGAATCCGTTGCATAACCAAATCATAAATCTTAAATATCCTGAATCAAATTATAAGATCAAAACCATGTTCTTCATGTGTAAAGATTAGACTTGCAGTCTCTCTAGGTGTTGCAAGTATGTACACAAATCAATCATTACATTGCATATCCCTAATGCCATCGTGCAATTGGCATGATACACTTCTCCCCAAATAAAATCGAGGAGCAAGTTGTTGAATACGAAGTTGTGGTCTCTATGCTTGATAAATGTGACTTTGTTATTAGGAGTGCAATCTTTGAACAAAACTAAAATGTACAAATTTTACTTTACAAGATAAACATTACATGGTTCTCAGTCTCAAGTTTACTGAATCCTTATTTACCAATCTTGATTGATCTGCATTTAGAAAAGGTGAAAAATTTATATTGAATCAATTGTCTGATTTTCCATGACTTTTATATTGGGTTTGCCTTTTTTTTTTTCCTTCTTTTTCACTCTTTATTTTATAGGTAATTCTGATTATTGTAAACTATTTCATTCTGTTATGAACTCAGTTTTATTGAAATTTGAACTTAAAATATAATTTTATTTTTATGCTAGATAAAAAGAGACATAACATGATACATCACACAGTAAGATATTGAACACAAGTCTTGCCCCAACGTTCAAATTTAGTTTACTTGGAGCTGTTATGGTCCACACATTGCTTATTTGCTCAAAGTCTTGCCCTCTCATAAGATTTACTTGACATATTGAACATGATTGTTTGAGAACATCTATTCCCAAGGGACAACCATCAATGGTTAATTTACAGTGATATGCAGTAATTAATTTATAATGAATTTCTTTTCTTTTTTTTTAAATCTAAAAATATATTTTTCTCATCAACATACATATTTTTGTTATTTTTGGAACGAAATTATGATTGAAGCTAAGCTATTTACATGTAGAGGATGGGTCATGCATTATCTTTTAGGGTTATCAAAATGTCTTTGTACACAAATGAATCATTATGTACATACATCATAAAAATTATTCACGCATTATGCTTTTTTTTTTCTAGTGACATTAAATTCTATGGGTGCAACTTCGTATAAATTGTGTGACGCATTATTTAACAATTATTGTCGATCTTTATTTGCAAGTAACCATGCAAATTCTACCTTATGTAGCTGCAAATCTAATTTGATACTTATTTTGTCCTTTATTTGAATATTTGTGTATATGATATATTTGTCTTAATTCTGTCTCAACTATATGAAGTGCTAAAGGTAGATTTACAATCTTGTTTGATGTAAATATTTACTAAATCATTTAAAATGGGGCAAAAATTCATGTGGCATCACTTGTATAATTGTAGTACGTACATATGCCGCTAGAAATTTAAATACTTTACCACAAAGTGACACTGGGAAGACTTTTATTGACCAGACTTTCATTCTTTAGAAAATAAGCAAGAATTGGAGAAAAATTGGTTTGTTGCGTACAAGTCTTGCCCTTTGCTCAAGTTTAGTTGACATTGAATTAATGTACATTGCACATTGCTTTGTTGCATCACACATATAGGTTTAGCTGACTTGGAGGGTACTGTACATCACACTGGGGATGATCATCAATGGCCACCATCGACAGAGGCAATTTCCTATACGTTTGTGTTTTGCAATGTCTATTAACAGAAGTCAAGGATAGTAACTATTTCATGCTGGCCTCTTCCATCCAAGACCAGTTTTCACCTGTGGACAAAATAATTTTTTTTCCAATATTTGATTAATTTAGGGAAAATTGTGACTGAAACATAATTATTTATTTCTTATCATTTGCAGTAGGTTATAGGTAGAATACATAAGTTTGTTTTTACTTTATTGCTTTTTATGTTTAAAATGTTTTTCTTTTCTTGGTCTTACAAAACTTACACGGTGTGAATGTAAAAAATATTATTATGAACATTATTTTATTAACACTAAATAGTATTTATTTGATTTCTGTTTATAATTAATAGATATTTATTTTTTTCTAAATATTAAAAATAAATAACACATTTTTTTAATAAACAAATAACCAAAGAATCCTCCTGGAAACGCATGTCATGGGACACACGCTACAATAATAATAAACTAAATATATAAAGAAATGCTTTTGGTGTCCAAAATCTGTTTTATGGAAAATTATGTCATAGAATGTCCCAAATTTAACGTTTTAATTGCTGTCTATAAATTATGGACCTAACATGGTTTTGAGTTCATAATTGACTAGACACATTTCGTACACATTCGTCAGTTTCAATATCCAACAACATTCCCCAGAGAGTTTGAGATGATCACCATGCTTAGCAGCAATCTCTCTCTCTTTTCTCTGGTCACCTTTCTCTGCATTTGTTTCTACGTTGGAAGTTCCCATGCAAATAAGTGTGCTGAGACGGACAGGCAAGCTCTTCTTAAATTGAAAGACGGTTTCATTGATAAATGGAACTCTCTTGACTCATGGAAAGGTGAAGATTGCTGCAAGTGGGAAGGAATTTCATGCGATAATTTAACTGCTCATGTAACCAGCTTGGATCTCCGTCATTTCTCGCTCAAAGGTCAGATGGATTCTTCAATATGTGAACTGAAACATCTCACTTTCTTTTATCTCAGTCATAATGAATTAGAAGGAATGATCCCAAAGTGCATCGGCTCACTTGCTCAATTGATAGAGTTGAATCTTGCGTGGAATCATCTGCTTGGTGGCATTCCTCCAACTCTGCGGAACCTTTCCAACTTGCAAACTCTTGATCTTGCCTATAATTTCTTGCTTGCGAATGACCTTGAGTGGGTTTCTCGTCTTTCTACCTTGAAATACCTTGATCTGTCGCATCTGGATCTTAGTCAAAGTGCTAATTGGCTATCATCAATGAGCAAAATCTCTTCTCTGTCGGAGCTTCGTTTAGATGATTGTGGGATTGGTCAAGTCATTCCTAAATCTATTCCCCATAATAATTCTTCCACTTCTCTCAACACACTCAGTCTTTCGAACAATCAGTTAGACTCTTCAACCCTGTCATTGGTGCTGAATGTCAGCAAAGTCCTCACATATCTTGATCTCTCCTCTAACTCTTTGCAGCATAATATTCCAGATGGATTTGTAAACATGGTTTCTCTTTCCCATCTACGATCTCTATATCTCTCGCGTAATGAGCTTGAGGGTAACATACTAAAATATATTCCGAGTTTGTTTCAGCTTAAAGAGTTACGATTGGAAGGAAACGAATTGTCTGGCAAACCCGTTGACTACATACGACAGTTGTGCTCTGCACAAGATGGTTTAGAGGTTTTGGATCTCAGCTATAACCCGTTTAGTAGTGCACCATTTCCTGATTTTTCATGTCTTTCTTTCTTGAAGACATTATCACTTCGTTTTGCCAATATTGTTGAGTCGTTACCACAATCAGTTAGTAAACTTGCCTCGTTAGAGGAATTGGATCTTTCCAATAATCAGTTGAATGGGACACTTCCTTCCACTGTTTGGCAACTTTCTAGTCTTACGACACTGGTTCTCTCTTCAAACGAGTTGAACGGTGCAGACGTCATTCGTGAGTCGCATCTGTCAAATCTATCACATCTAGATCTCCGTGACAACCAACTAAGTGGATCACAACCGTTGTTTGAGATTAGTAAACTTGCCTCGCTAGAGGAGTTGGATCTTTCCTATAATCAGCTGAATGGGACACTTCCTTCCACTATTTGGCAACTTTCTAGTCTTCGGAGATTGGTGCTCTATTCAAACAAGTTGACTGGTGTCCTTCGTGAAGGGCATTTGTTTGAGATTGGTAAACTTGCCTCGTTAGAGGAATTGGATCTTTCCAATAATCAGTTGAATGGGACACTTCCTTCTACTATTTGGCAACTTTCTAGTCTTCGGAGAATGGTGCTCTCTTCAAACAAGTTGACTGGTGTGGATGTCATTCGTGAGGGGCATTTGTCAAACTTATCAGAGCTTGACATCGCATATAACCAATTAAGTGGATCACAACCATTATTCGAGATTAGTAAAATTGCCTCGCTAGAAACGCTGGATCTTTCCAATAATCAGTTGAACGGGACACTTCCGTATAATCTTTGGGGACTTTCTAATCTAACAAGTTTGTCTCTCTTCTCAAATAAATTGAATGGTGTCGTTGATGAATCACATTTATCAAACCTGTCTCAATTGGAAGATTTAAATTTAGCTGGAAATGCACTCACATTCAATTTTAATTCAAATTGGGTTCCACCGTTCCAACTCCAAATATTACTAGCATCATCATGCATCTTGGGTCCTATATTTCCAACATGGCTCAAGAACCAAAGAGAACTTAGGGTCTTGGATATCTCTCGGAGTGGTATTTCAGATTCATTGCCTAATTGGTTTTGGAACCTGTCTTCAAGTTTGTCGTACTTGAATGTTTCACATAACAAAATTAGTGGAGCATTTCCACTGTCGTTACCAAGTACAAAAGGAAATAGTATGGACCGGAATGTGTGGGATTTGAGTTTCAACAATTTGTCCGGTCTATTGCCTCAACCCCCAAAACTACATACACTGTTACTCTCGAATAATATGTTTTCAGGGTTCATTACTTCTTTTTGTGCAACGCCATCAACGATGTTAACTATTCTCGACTTGTCTAGTAATTTACTAGCGGGGACACTTCCAGATTGTTGGGGGAGATTTCAAAGTTTAGTTATTCTAAATCTGGCAAAAAATAATTTATCAGGTAGCATACCCAAGTCATTTGCCACTTTACAAGAAATTGAGTCTATTAATTTAAATAGCAACAACTTCTCGGGTGAAATTCCATCTTTAACCTTCTGTAGCCGATTACGATTTATTGATTTTGGGAATAACAATCTCCAAGGAACATTACCAGCATGGGTAGGCCATAACTTGCGACAATTGATGGTGTTGCGTCTAGAGGCAAATAAATTCAATGGAAACATACCTACAAGCCTATGTAATCTTCTATTTCTTCAAGTGTTAGATCTCTCTAAAAATAATATTAGTGGGAGAATTCCAGTGTGTCTGAGTGGCATAATTGCTTTGTCAAATACGACGTTTTCAAGACAGACAATGGTTTATCCAATACATGATGTTGGGTTAACGGATCCTGATCCAATTCAAAGTTTCAATGACAAAGCCATGTTGGAATGGAAAGGGCAAAACCAAGAATATGAGGAAAATCTAGGATTTATGACAATCATAGATCTTTCTTGCAACCAATTAATAGGAGAGATACCCAAAAGTATATCAATACTTGCGGCATTAGCTGGCTTGAATCTCTCAAGAAATAATCTCACAGGTTTCATTCCCTACAACATTGGTCATATGAAAATGTTGGAATCACTTGACTTGTCAAGAAATCATCTTTATGGAAGAATGCCAGCAAGCTTTTCAAATTTGACTTTTCTCAGTTACATGGACTTGTCTTTCAACAACTTGTCAGGAAAAATTCCACAAAGCACTCAGATACAAACCTTTGATGCCTCTGCCTATAAAGGAAATACTGGGCTTTGTGGTCCACCACTCCCAAATCATTGCCCAGGGGATGCTGTTTCGCCAAATGGAAGGGTAGATAAAAACAGTGTTGAAGAAGATGGAGACGAAGATGAACTCATAACCATTGGTTTTTACATCACCCTGGGGTTTGGATTTTGTGTTGGATTCTGGAGTGTTTGTGGAACTTTAATTATAAAAAGTTCATGGAGACGTGCCTATTTTCAGTTCTTCAACAACATGAATGACTGCATATGTGTGACACTCGTTGTCCTTATGGCTCGAATGAAAAGGAGATTTCAAGTTCAAGATTAAAAGGTAAAGCATTTGATTCATTGCCTGTGGTGCACTTATGTAAATTATGATTTACCGTGCCACTTTGTCTAAATAAAATTAATTAACAGCTTGCACACAACAATGCTAGTGGAGATGATGTCTTTTCTTCTTGAATATTTTGTAGGTGAAGTTCCATTTCAGAAAGTGATTTGTTGTAAAGCTTTGATTAATTTGGTAGGGACTATTGTTTCATTTGGCAGATGCACCACTTCTGAGTGATTTGGTTCTATTTTTTTTTCTCTTAAGGCATCTTCTATATATTTTTTATTTGATTTTTTATTAACATGTAAATTACTCAAATTTTCATATAATCGTACATGCAGAATGGAAAGTGACGCTGAGGTATGATTACTATTTTGAAGAAGGAAGCACTTTGTTAAAATCTACTGGTTGATCATTAAGAAACTATTAGAGTTAAGCAATAAATTTCAGAATTTCAGACTATCTTGAATTCCCGGAGAGTTATAATGGTGCTTGGTTCTTGCAAGTTAGATGGATGTTCCTCCATTTACACTTCTTGTCCTTTGTGTTTTTTGATCATTTTGAAATTTCCTTTTAGATCAAAAGTAAAATGATTAGCTTATATGTTCCTTTGTAATTTGTGTTTCATTGTTGAGAGTATATTTCACGAATTTTCCGAGTGAAGCTAAAAGTGAAAAAAAAAACTCCCCTTTTGTGTTATATAAGTGAAGCTATAACTAGGAACAAGCATTGCCCATTTTTCATCGGGACCTACTCTCATACATAACATTAACAGAAGTAGAAGGAAAAGGAATACTTTTCCTAAATTTTATATTTTACATATTCACTCTAAACATCCTGCTATAAAAAAATTAGAAAATGAAAAAAGAAATTACTAACATTTGAAAAACTTATTTTTTTTACTAATTTTTTATTTTAAATTAATTTTATAAATTATTACGATCAATTTTCAATTGACAAATAAAGAAATAAAACAAAATAAAAATGTTTTTAACTTAAATTTCGTCCTTCAATTTATTTATTTTTTATTATTTTGGTACTCTAACTTAAATGTTTTTAAAGGCAATTTTTGTTTCCTCTCTCTTATTTCAGTGGATCTTTCACACACTGCTTATTTGCTCAAAGTCTTGCCCTTCACATAACTGTAGTTAACATATCGATTGTTCACGAGGCATCTATTCCCAAGGGACACCCATTAATGGTTTACAATGATATGCAGTAATTAATTTATAATGAATTTTTTTAAAATCTAAAAATATATTTTTCTCATCAAGTTACATATTTTCGTTATTTTTGAAACGAAATTATTATTGAAGCTAAGCTATTACGTGCAGAGGATGGGACATGTTTTATCTTTTCGGGTTCTCAAAATATCTTTGTACATAAATGAATTATTATGGACATACATCATAAAAATTATTCAGGTGTTATGTGTTTTTTTTATAGTGACATTAAATTCTACGGGTGCAAGTTCGTATGAATTGTGAGGCATTATTTAACAATTATTGTCTCTCTTTATTTGCAAGTAACCATGCAAATTCTGCCATATGTAGCTGCAAATCTAATATGATACTTATTGTGTCCTTTATTTGGATATTTGTGTATATATGATATATTTGTCTTAATTCTGTCTTATGTAAATGAATTGCTAAAGGTAGATTTTGCATCTTGCTTGATGTAAATATTTACTAAATTATTTAAAATAGGGCAAAACTTCACGTGGCATCACTTGTATACCTGTAGTACGTACATATGCCGCTAGAAACTTAAAGAACTTTACCACAAAGTGACACTGGGAAGACTTTTTATTCAGTATACTTTCACTCTTAAAAAATAAGCAAGAATTGGAGACAAAGTGGGGGGAAAAACTAGTAAATAAATTTGTTAATATCTTTTAATTTATCCTTCTAAATTTATTCTAATTGTAATAATTAAAATTAAAACTCTGTATTACAATTCAAATTTCATGAACAAAATCAATCTCAACGTTTACATATTTTCTTTGATCTTTATTTTTTCCTTCTATTTCTTCTTTTCCTTCCAATATATGTAGACTTGTTTCAGAGCTAAGATTTATTATATATTATTTTTTTTATTATGTTTCCGTTGCATTTATACATCACTAAGCTTAAAGATTCATAAACCACTAGTGCAAAAATGACATTCTACAACATGAATCTACATTAGTTAATAAAAAACCGATGCGAAAAAAAAGGTGGTGACATTTTTAAAATTTTAACGAACATTTCTACATCGGTTTGGTCAAAATCGGTGTTAAATATTTTTACTACATCGATTGCAATTTACAATCGATATTAAATGATTTTACTACATCAGTTTAAATTTACAACTGATGTTATATGTTTTCTACATCGGTTGTTACATATAACTAATGTAGAAGAGTGTTTTAAACTTCACCTTGCCGCTTACAAACAATCACTTTTCACATGTTCAATACACAGAACACATCAGCTTTTGTTTCTTCCCTCTCGCGCAAGGTACATAAGCTTGTTTTTACAACTTAAACTTCCTTTTGCGTCATTCAAGGTATGTAAATCGCTCTCAAATTTGATTTTATATGTTTTAACCTCATATACGCGTTCTTCTCACACAAGTTTCATGTTTAGGATTTATTGTTTTCCCCTCGTACAACCTCAGCGACAACAACAATCTCATTTTTGTGAAGATTACTTCAAACTTTGTCGCGGCTACATTTGAAGTAAGTGTTTTTACCATTAATTTCTTTGTGAAGATTACTTCGAACGTTGTCATTCATTAATTTCTTTGCAAAAAAAGAACAATTCCAAACATGAACAAAAAGAATGATGGTTAAGGTTAAAATGGCCTCGAAAAGAGGCTATCAAAACTAGGTAAGGGAATTAAAGTGACGGCAAGGAACTTGTGTGTATGGATCCTCTCTTTTTTTTTTTTTTTTTTACTTTTTCTATGCAGTGTCTACACATGCACGCTACATATCTCGTATTAACATATTATTAACAATTATAGTGTAAGTATTTAGAATGTGTCTGCTGTCAAGTTAAAAAAGTTCACAAGCCTTTACTCTAAAAAGATTAACTGTATTATGAGAATAATACGCACATCCAATCAAAACATAACATAGGACACTGCTTTATAATAGTTGCGTCAGACAAAAATAACATTTGAATTCGCTTTAAAGGACACCTCTTAATGTGCCTTTGCTTCTTTAGGGTTCATAGCTTGATTTGTTCATTTGTTTAACCACCCTTCAATTGTTAATTCTTTATGTAGCATTGGATCGCAGTTGGATAAATTGTAGACGTACAAACGAGGAGTATGAGAATGGGGTCAAACAATTTTTACAATTTGTGCAAAGAAATGTGGCTAATAATACCGGAAGATTTTATTGTCCTTGTGTGAAGTGTTTAAATTTAAGGCAATTGAGTGTTAAAGATATAAGAGAACATGTGTTCTGTGATGGATTTTGCAAGAGTTATACAACATGGATATGGCACGGTGAATTAAGAAATATGTCAAACTTGTCCCAAACAATTGAGGTTGATGTAGAAATGGACGATCAATTGGAAGATATGATACGTGATATTGGGAAAGTATTTTCAGAGACAACATGTTTTTGAAAACATATGTGAAGGAATAAGCCTTTGTATCCAAGGTGTCCCAATTTCACACAGTTGTCAAGAGTGTTAAAATTAATTAACTTGAAAGCAAGACATGGGTGGACTGACAAAAGTTTTACTGAATTGCTTGAATTATTGAAAGAGATGCTTCCAGAAGGTAATACTCTTCCACATCGTTATTATGATGCAAAGAAGATCTTGTGTCCAATGGGTATGGAGTATAAGAAGATACACGCCTGTCCGAATGATTGCATTTTCTATAGAAAAGAGTATGCAGGGTTGCATAAGCGCCCTTTGTGTGGGATTTCACACTACAAAGTAAAGAACTTTGATGAAAATTGTGATGTGAGAACAAAAGGACCACCTGCCAAGGTTTTATGGTACCTTCTAATAATTCCTAGTGTAATGCCTTATATTTCTTTCCTCAATATATGATAAATTTTCATAAATATTTAAATGGTAAAGTAAATTTTCTTTCAAAAATTCTCTAATGAAAAAGAAACAATGAAATGATATAAGGTTCATAAAGTAAAATTTCATTGATTTATAAGTACTTTAGAAAAACAAAGATTCTAAAATTTTCATTAATAACAAAAAGAAATAGTAGTTTTACAACTGTTTCAAAAGAATGTTATAGAACTGAAAATACCCATTACATAACTCAAAATAACTAAGTCCTATAGCAGTTCTTATCCATCTATGCGCTGTGAGTCTGGTACTATTTGTCCTAGTCTCTTGAAAAATGTTGTGTAAGGGTGAGTCTCTACCCTACCACTCATACATAACACATATTCATCACAAAACACATCTTATCACGATTAAAGAAAACATCATGGTATTACATATCACATTGCTTTATAAAGCAAGTTCTCGTCTCAACTCATAAACACATTATATTCCATAGATTCACAATTTCTTTTTCTTTTACCCGCGCTTACCGCGCCCTGTGGCCACAGTTATCTAATGCCTCTATCCCGAGGTCTTACACATCCATGTAAATAGTTGCCGGATAGCCCAATGTAATACGAATACAATGCATGCAATAGACAGCCCCTTAGCAAAGGTATTGGTCAGGAGTCAAGTCAAAAAACGAGTGTGCAGCCATTGGTGCATTTGTACACAATATTCTGTGCACAATCTCGAATATCACTCACCACCCTACATTTTCCCAAGATATCCCATATCGTCTCCATCTTCCACTCCCCCAATATATCTCTGTAACTATTTACATCATATCATTTTCCATCTCATATTCTTTCAAGTATATTCACATGTTCACATATGCCATTTCTCATGTTCACACATATTTTTCATTATATTTCCACATATTTTTCATCATATACATCAAACCATGACATATTCACAATACACATAATTTTC